TTGTGTTCCCGTCATTTTACTGACGACTGCTTCTCTAATCTCGTGGAGTTCAACGTGGGATTCACAAAACGCTTACTCTTGAAAGATGGCTCAGTACCCAGTTTATCTGGACCAGCTGGCTCCACTGAATCACAACCTGTAAGTATGATAAATAATAGATGTTTATATTTTCTATCGAGCGTTCAAAATATGGAACTATGGCAATGGGTGTATCATTTCCGACACGCGCTGTACGCAGTAGACCAATCACAACAGACTGGCCGATATGACCAATCAAAGCAGAGCAGGCTCACGGAAAGGAGGGGTTTAGAGAGACTGAATCTTAAGACCGCTTCGAACAAATTGTTTGAGAATCGTTGGAAAATGTGATGAAATTAAATGCATATTGTGAGAAAACAAAAGCGTTTTTTGACCTTGCTTGCATGTAAACCTATTGTAGGAGACTCCCAAAACAAATTTGGGAACTTTAAAAATGGCATAATGGGGGCACTTTAAAATCTGGACTTAAACAATCACTGAGCCATCTACATTATGTCCTTAATTTGTGTACATATTGCATACATACCGGGATATTTCACCCAATTATTACAATGATTTTCCTGGTTTTCCATTCTCTGTGCAACACAAAAAGACAAATGTTGAAACATGTACTGGCTACTACCGTTATATGAAAGCCAGCTTGTGATGTTTGTGGGAAAAGCGTATTTTGTTGGAAGGACTTGGAAGGGCATTTTGAGCAACTGCCTTACCACCATCATCACTTACATTCATGTACATAGGATATTGTGGTGTAAATAAGGTATACAGTTTAATTCTGAGTGGATTGCAAGCTTTGAAAGTTAGTACATTGAAAGGAAAATCTGTTATTCCATAATCAACCTTTAACATTCAGTTGAGCAAAATCTTTTTTTCTCTCCTTGAAAAGCTTAATTTTGCTGCATGGAATTCAGAACCGTTTGTTTCCAAGTTGTCAGAGCCTGTAATGGTCTGCCCGGAGAAATCATGCTTCAGATGAGACATTTAGAGATACAGAGCACTTTTCCCACAAATCATCCACAACTTTGCAGATAAGCAGGATACAAAAGCCGAAAACACACATCTTATCTGGCATGAGGGATCTTACTCACACATACAGACGCACAAAGATAAACGGCAAAAAAAGAGCAAACGGACTGAAACTCAAACTGTGTGACCCACAGACTCCCAAACAGTGTACATAGTTTTCCTGGAGGAAAGGGGTATCATAAGCCTGAAGCAATGGAAAATAACTTCCTTGGTCTGTCGCCACAGCCTGCTGATAAACAAAAATATACTCATGTGGAAAAAATGGTGAAATCTGCAATCAGAAGATATGAAAACCCCCATATGGACCACCAAGTTTCATTCATC